AAAGAGTTACTTACAGTGGAGAAACCTGACAAGCGACGCCTTGGCCAGGTGAGTAAGGTCAACATCAACAGTGATAAGTCATACTGAGAGTATGTACCCTTGATATAAGCCATGAGGAGAATGGCACTCATCAGAAAATGGGACTGTGGTCCTCCTCCCACAGACTACCCAAGTCTCATCATGAGAAAAACATCAGACAAACTCCATTAGGAGGGACATGCTACAACATACGTGACCAGTACTCTTCAAAGCTGTCAAGGTTGTCAAAAACAAAGAGACTTGACAAACTGTCACACAGCCAATAAGAGCCTAAGGAGTCAGGACTAAATTATATGGTATCCTAGATTGGATCCTGGAACAGAACAAAGCCATTAGGTAAAAACTAAAGAAATCTGAATAAAGTATGGTATTTAGTTAATGATAATATATCACTATTGATTCATCAATTGTGACAAACATACCATATACTGTAAGATGTTAGTAAAAGGGTAAGCTGGGTGTCATGTATATGGGGACTCTCTGTACTGTCTTTACAACTTTTCTGTAAATCTAAAACTGTTTTAAAATAAAGTCTATTCAAAATTATAATTAAATTTAATGGGACAAACTTTTAAATGATTTATAGAATATTGCCAACTCTTGATAATCTAGGGGAAATTTCTCTCAGACTCTAGTGTTAGAAAGAACAACAGTCAGATTCTTATCTGTTCACTCACTTAATCCTGATCACGTTCTAATCTTTGCTTTGGCCACTAGGAAGCTTGGAAACAAATCTATTAGTAATTATGAAGAAGCTTCTAGTTTCTATGAAGCTCTTAGTTTCATCTGAGTTATTCTATTAATATTTTCACTTCATTGTGACTTTTTAAAAATATTTTTATCACTGTTTTTATCTTTTCCTATTACCAGTCACCTCAAATCTCTTTAGAGGGAGGATTTATATCTATGAAAGTGTTTTTATCTGATTATACAAAATGTTACTATTCAAATTTCTGACTTCCTATTTCTCATGTTACCAAAATTCTGGATAGTTACCCACTCAATGGCTAGAACATGGCAAATTACTAAAGCATTCAGCTTCAGTTCCTGAACTGCAAAATGGTGATAACACCACCCACTTTGACGGGTGGTTGTGAAGACTAATGGGGTCCACATTTGTTAATATGCCTAGAACAGATGAAGAGAAGGCACTAGAGAAATGATAATTACATTATTATTATTATTATTAATAACAAAAGAGCAATAGTTATTTTCATTAATATAATAAAAAGAATGGAGCTGAATTACAAATCAATCATAGGCCAGGTGGTGATTTTCTCAGTGACCTAGATAAACAAGAGTAGCTGCCATATTTTGGAGGATAATAACAATAACTAAAGAAAAGAGGGGGAAAAAAGGGGAGGAGAGAAAAACAGATAAGAAGTGGAGGAGGAAGAGGGCTTCTTACACATTGTAACTGCCAAAAACAAGTCTGAAAGCTTTAAGACAAGGTGAAATCTGATCACTTTTTAGCCTTGACTCCACTAGAATAAGAAAAAGAAAAAAGGAAAGGAAAAACAAAACACCCTTGAGCCTTTTTGGCACTCATTTCCCCAAAGCCTCCCAAAGCAATCACAATAAGAGCCAACGAAACACCAAACCTGAACCTCTCCTTAGCCCAGAGGATGCCAAGCTCATGTCCCACAGCCTAGTTTTTGGCATTGGTACATTCTAATTCAGACCCTTATCTTCCTTATTCTAGAAGAGGGACAGGCATGGAGATTTTTCATTAAAAGAACTATGCATTGTTTAAATACTATGCGCTACACTTTTTGTCCTTGGTACCTCTGACTCCCTCAATAACCCTGAGAGGACGTCCAGGTGAGGACCTGAGGCTCGGGGGGGAAGGAATTCGCTCCAGGTTCTCATCGATAGTACATGGCGAAGACACTGAACCCAGGTTAGTCTGACTACAAGGATTTCCCTCCTTCCACTGCGCCAGAAACTTAGCACAAGGATTCCTTGCCAAATCGACAGAGAAAGGGAACTAAATAAAATAGCTAATTCCTTTAAAAAATTTCTTAGCAATGTGTCGGAAGTTTTTCTGTTACCTCGCTCACTCAGTTCATACAATAACCCCACAGAGTAGGTGTAAATTTATCCCAATTTTACAATCGAGAAAGCTCAGAGGGGTTACTTGTTCACCCTGATCACACAGGTTGAAACAGATAAGGGAGAAGGAATTGGGAGATGAGGAAACAACAGAAGAGAGAGAAAGATGGATGTCAGAGATCCGTGTACCGGGGAGAGGCTCTAGAAGAGAGGAAATTGGAAGGGCGGCCTGTTGAAGCTGCTCGCAGTCAGGGGCAAGGAGCTGGAGGGGGGATCGCATATTTGTACCAATGAAAACAGACTGAGTCACGAGTGTCGCAGCTGATAAAAAAAATGGCAGGGATGACTGGACAGCCAATAAATCATTTCTGAGCATTAAACTTTCTGCTTCCTCAGGTTTGAGACTGTCATGGGTGGGGATGGAATTCCCCAAGCATGTTCTGATAGGCTAACAAGAAGCTCTCCATTTTTAAATTCACCAAATTCATTAGATCTTTTAAAATACTTCCAACCCCTCACAGGTATGGAGCACCCCAGAGTCACATATTACTTTCATGTATATTCTGGTAGGCAGTGTTGTCCCAACTTACCTGACCATAGAAACACCTGGGGCACTTGTTAACATACAAATCCCCAGGTACCCCACAGAGATTCTGATTCAGTAAGCTTAAAACAGGGAGCCCCGCCGGCCCGGTGGCTCAGCGGTTGGGTGCGCGTGCGCCACTACTGGCGGCCCGGGTTCGGATCCCGGGCGCGCACCGATACACCGCTTCTCCGGCCATGCTGAGGCCGAGTCCCACATATAGCAACTGGAAGGATGTGAAACTATGACATAAACTATCTATGGGGGCTTTGGGGAAAAAAAAAAAAAAGGGAGGAGGATTGGCAATAGATGTTAGCTCAGAGCCGGTCTTCCTCAGCAAAAAGAGGAGGATTAGCATGGATGTTGGCTCAGGGCTGATCTTCCTCACAAAAACAAAAAAAACAAAAAAACAAAAACCAGGGAGCCCTGGCGATCCGTGCGTTTATATGATTCAGCTGATTCCTATAATCAGGATAGTTTAGGAAAATTGCTTTAATAGGACTCTCCCAACAAGGTTGCAGGGTAGGCACCATGACCCCCATTTTACAGATAAGAAGGAGGAGTTTCAAAGAAGGCAAGGTCACACAACTCGTGTGGCACAATGGAGGACTATAAGTCACACTGTGACTCCACGGTGAGTATGCACGCCACTGCATTTACTTCTGTCTGATCCAGGGCTAGCTTCAAAAAGCTTGCTCCTCGGTGTCTTACTATGGCATCAGATACTAGGAGATGGGGGCACAGACTACCCAGCACCATCAGAAAGAACCAGGGAAGAAGTCAATGTCCCCGGGCTGAATAACACTCAAGGAAAAAGAGAAGGAAAGAAGGGCCTCCTCCACCTGCACTTCTGTTTTTGGGTCCTCAAGGTCCACAGGCCGATGGGGTATTGCCGACACCCACACGATTAGCACTGCTTTGACTAATAGGTCCATTTGGCTAAAATGATCAAAACATTTCTTTCACTACTGCACAAAGGTAGGAAAAAAAACTGGAGAAAGATCCTTCCAGAAATAATTTCTGACAATTAATGTCACAGCAAAAGAGAAATGCCCAAGATGAGACCCTCACCCACACACTAGCCTTCCCACTGGTAATAACGGTGGAATGGTGACTAACTGCACCTTTTGGGGTCAAGTTCAGACCACTCCTCCAGAGCCTTCTCCCTCCTCGAGGGGTGAGTCCCTGAGGTTCGCTGAGGTCATGTTCTGTGTGTGTGGATCCCCTCCACCCGAGCATTTCATCAGTGGGCGGGGAGGATAACAGACATGAAGAACAACGTGCTTGTGAAATACGTCCTCCCCTATCTCCTTTCTGGAAGCCCCTGCTGCTGAGCTGTCACACTCTTATCAACTGGACAAGAAAAGATCCAAATCATACAAAATGAGGTAGACAGGAAGAACACAGGGATGACAGTTCTCCTCTTCCCAGCTTCTCATGAGTTTAAATAAAAAGGGAAATGGGAGGATTTAGCCCTCCCTAAGTGAGCTGACTTGAAGATACAACAACTGCCTCCCTAAACGCATGTATTTGTGCAGGTTTACCTGTCCTCTGGGAAAGATCCTCTTCCTCACAGGGTTGTTCAATACAGATTCTAAACCGCTTTCAGGATGTGAAGACCCCTCCCCACCCTGCTGTCCTCCGTGTGCATCCCCTGAAATCTGAGGTCATTATGACAACAGACTTGCATACCTTCATGTCCAACCTGTTTCTCTCTCTCTACATATATATCCATGCACACATCCACTCTGGTAATTATAGCAGCCAGAATTTCACACTCGATGAGTATTTTTTAAATTTTCTCTGTCACATAGCAAAAACTTATTTATAACATTCAAATTTTATTGAGAAACGTTGTTGACTTCAACACACATACCTCTACACTCTGGGATGATTCAGGTACATTGATATAAAAAGCAAAATAGCTTCATAATGCGCCCATCCAGTGAAAATCAGCTTCCTCGAAAAACATATCTCCTGCCTTAATATTAGGGACCAAAAAAAAAAATTTCTTTTATTCACCATGTAAAAAGTGCCTTTGGAAAAATGGTCACATTTCATGATGGACTATTCACATCTACTGCAAATGTGTCCAATTTAATGAATGGTCTTCACCTTGGATACCCACATTCCAGGCCTACAGGAACAATGGTGTCTGGCCATGTGTAGTGGAGGTGGAAGATGTATTCAAGATGTTTCAAGTATGCAAAATCGTATGCAGATGTACAAACAGTTCGTCTAGTCAAAGCAAGTTAAGAGAGCAATATATATACAAACGCCCAAGAATGGATGAGCACAAATAAAATCCAACTTGTAATTAACATACCGTGCTGTGACACCTGTTGCCTTCCACGATAAGAAGTCTGGGAGATCAAAGAAATGTCCCGCCTTATCCCAGCAAGTCTCTCTCAAGTTCTGCCAAATTAAATACATATTAGAATCAATTATGGCTTTTTTTCTACCCCTCTCCTCTTTCAATAATGTTTCAAATTTTTCAAAACAAAAGCATAGCCAACAATGCCCAATAAAACATCTGTTCAGGGGCTGGGAGTGGGGATGATATAAAAGCAATATTATATAGGAAAGAAAAATTGGCAATTATTGATCCTTCCAAAAATGACTATAATTTCCCATTTATTCCTCTTTGCCAACCTGGAGGGGCAGGAGGCATATTCTGTGAGGGTATGCAATCTATCTTCCCAGAGGAGGGTGAGAGGATATGCTTCAAGACATATAATAAGATTTCAAAGCTGAACAGCTATAAACTGGGAAGAAAATGCAATAAGAAATTACTCAATGAAACAGAATGTGTCCTGCCATGTAAAATTCTTCCCACGCCAACTGCTTCCAAAGGAGATAGGAAAGATGTCCCTGCCCTCAAAGAGCTTCCCATCTAAGCCAAAGAGAATCAAGCTATTCTTCTAAATTTTTTAAACGTTAGTTTCTTCCACTCTGCCAATGTGGTCAGACTTTTTCTTGCCAACGGGCTTTTTCTTTCCTCTGCCGCTTCTGTCTGGAAAATCCATTCCTCACCCGCCACCCTGTTCCCCCCAGAGTCCATGCAGCCCTGCCCCCTTTGGCTAACCCTACCCACCCTTCCCGGGGGAGGCCTTCCAGGATCTCCTACTAAGGTTAGGTCTGGCTGTCGCACAACCCATACCGCCCACAATCATTTGTGTAATGTCTTTCTTTGCTGCTAGATTGTAATCTCTACAAGGTCAAGGGCCTTGTCAGTTTATGCACTATGATATCCCAGGACTGTCTCCTCTCCTCCCCCTACAAAGGACTGGACCCTCAGCTGTGAGGAGAAACCACATGACCTCAGTCCCCTTACACACTCAGCTGGACCAGGGATGGACATGTGACCCAACTGAGCCAATCAGATTCCTTCTCCCAGGAATTGAGAATCAGGATCCAAATGGAGCCATTTAACTTCTGCCTGTGAATGAACTGGAGGTGAGATAAACTTGGAAGCTGTGAAGTGGCCATTTTCTGCCAAGTACCTGGAAAAGAACTTCATCAAGACAAGAGTAAAGCAGATAGAAGCAGCAGCAAGAAAGGTTTCCTACCATCCAGGCAAGTCTCTATGTCCTGGTTTCAATAATTCTCTCCCCAAGAGGCTACAACAAAAGGAATGTATCATAAGCACGAGATATCTTTAGGAACCCAAGGGCAACAAAGCAGAAGTCCTGAGGAGACGTATTATTCCAGTATCTGTTAGGGGGTGACACATAGGCACTCAGGAAATATTTGATGGACAACAAGACAAACTGCTCAGGTTCACCTCACAAACTCCCACACGAGTAACACTGCAGAGTTTATACATGGCTTCCAAGTGCATTCTCTCCTTAGGACAACACACAAGTCCTGAGGGTGATGACATCTATTTTACAGACATGCAACTGGCCTTTACCTACATTTGCCCTCAAATGCTCTGAGTTCCTCCTCTTTCCTCCTTGCCCGTCACTACTGTATGAACACAGACATCTATGCACAGCAGAGAAGCTGAGTATTACCCCAGCTACAGGGTTCTATTAAAACAACGGCAACACCGGAAGGGTTCATATGTAAAAGGCAGTGTTAAGCCCATTTTCTGTTATCGTTGTTTATTTGTTTGGGTGGGAGTTTGCATCTGGAAAGAGCTAAATTTCTCTTTGAATGCCCATACATCCTAATGTTAAAACAAAGCAAAACTTAAAGCTGACTAAATATGCCTAACGCAGCCAGGAACTCGCATTATCTTTACACACTAATAGGTCACAAGCAGAAAACTGTCGCCTTTGAAACTATGTGAGTCAAACTATGAGTATGCCTTCTGGGGAGTCCCCAAATCTCTTTCCACGTGCTTTGTGGTTTCAGTGATCAGTTCTCAGGGAGGAGGAGACCAGGCAGCCTCTTCCTCAGGTCTCCAGAAACGCATGGCCAGTCACCAGAAATGAACCACTGAACCACTGCAGCACAGCCAGTGCTCCACGCTAAAGCTGAGCCATCTTCCTAAACTCAGAAAACAACCACTTCTGTCAGGTCCTGTGTACGGCCACTAAAGACCTGTACAATGCGAGCGCTCAGCCAGCACCACACAGACAGCCCCTGTGGACAAGGGGACCCAAGCAGAATGTCTGAGAGAGAACTTCAGGCCTCTTGCCAAAAAGAGACACATCCGGGGTGGGGGGCAGAGGTAGGAGGCGCAAGACAGCCGAGGAGAATCATTTCTTCTTGAGACCAGGCCAGCTTCACTGATCAAAGCCAGGGACCCCATTCATGCCTCTCTATAGGATGAGAATCCACAAAAATCTTATTAGAAGTATGAGGCATCCTTAAGAACGCATGTGGTCTCAGAGGAGAAGACAGCAGTGTTCCCTGCTTTCTATACAGAAGCCAAGTCTGGAGATTAGCCAGCAGAGGGAAGAGGGAAAGAGTTTGCCTGGATGGGAGGGAACGTCTCCAGAAGCCTGATCCCTCAAGATGCCGACAGACTACCTATGAGGTTCCCATGCTGTTCTTATGTTGGGCTGCATGACTCACAAGTGCTTTGTCATCAAATGCCAGATTAGCCAAGGGCATATTAGGCCCCATGGATGGATTTTTAGTCCAGTTCTGTGGGAAAATCTCTCCGTCCCTCCCCCTCCCCAACCAGTACAGTCCCAGCTGAGGGCCTCAATCTTTTTTTTTTTTTTTTTGTGAGGAAGATCAGCCCTGAGCTAACATCCATGCCAATCCTCCTCTTTTTGCTGAGGAAGACTGGCCCTGGGCTAACATCCGTGCCCATCTTCCTCCACTTCATATGGGACACCACCACAGCATGGCCTGACAAGTGCTGCCTTGGTGCGCGCCCGGGATCCGAACCCGGGCCACCAGCAGCAGAGCGCATGCACTTAACAACTATGCCACGGCGCCGGCCCCGAGGGCCTCAATCTTACTGCATTAATCCTATTCTTATAACCATTGGGCCTGCATCAGCACAGTTACTGTCCTCTTATACTCCTCCACAGCTGGCAATAGTGTTCCCACATGCCTCATCTCATTTGATTCTCAGGGAGGTCAGAGGTGTGTAGACGATATACAACAGTCATGTACTAAGGATATAGAAACGGAGGCTCGGATGACAAGGGCTTACCCCAAAGTCACACAGGGCTTCCAGCTCTAGAGTTAAGAGTCCTTCCTTCCACTGTGCACAGCCACCACCTTGAGTCTCCCAGACCTCTCAGAGCTGTGGATTTTGGCCTTTTGGAAGCATCACGATGGAAGCTATTGCTATTCTTTACAGAAGAAAAAAAAAACACACACAGAAAAGTCCTCCCAAATGCATTTTTTTAACATAATCTTTATGATTTCAGAGATTTCATTTTCAATTCTGGGCTACTCACTTACCTTCTATGTACCTAATAACCACCTCTGTGCACAAATGGTGCACGGGTCAGAGAGAGCACAGAGCAGGTCCCAAGCACACGTCAACTGTACTATATCTCCTTATGTGATGGCTGAATCCAGCTCAAACTAGGAGCTCTCTGTGCTGAATGAGTTCAGTCTACCCTCTAGTTACCAAGCAACTAACAAAAACTAGTCTTTTCAAGAAAAAGAAAAATCAGCAGTGATTTGGGGTAAACGACTTGGCAATAAAGGCTTCTGCATTCTTGCTTTGAGCTAAGCAATCCCTGGAAGTCTTGAAAGAACCAAAGAGAACAACTCTTCACTTTTTTAAAATCATCTATTACTTCACAAAACTGCAGCATTTCTTGGGAGGAGGCTGCTACTCAAAGTGCACGTGGCTGCAGGTCTCAGCAGAGGGAGGAGGCAGAGCAGCATGTCGGAGGTTCAAGGCCAGGCAGCAGCCGCCCTGGCAGCCTTGGGGCAGGGACATAGCTTCCTCCCTTTCCCTCTCACTGCAGTGTCTGTCCAGGGAGGCAGTGACGTCTCTGCTGGCTTCTAGATGGCGAGGGAACTTGTGGGGAAAATGAAGCTGATACTGCAATGTATGTCAGCAGACAGCAGGGTCTAGGAGGAGCAGGAGAAAGTAGGGATAACCAGTTAAAGAAAGATCATCCAAGTATTTTGTTATTAATTGCAAAAGGGATTTTACTGGGGCTATCTGCTGTGTGCAGTGAATAAAGGGAGGGAACAGAGCTCCCTAATCTCCCCCCGCCAATAAGTGATCCTGCCTGAACACTCAAATACCCACAAGGTTGTTTTCCAGCACAACTACCCAGAAAATAGCAAAAACTTATCCTCACTCTTCGTTCAAGACTCCAAATTAGGGGACAGGCTGATAGCCCAGAGAGGAAAGGTGTTTCAGGAAGAAACTTAATCCTCAATGTCATTCTTAGAAGAAAAACAATGCTGAAAACATGGAGTAGGTGATAGTCCCCAACCAGAAACTTCCCAGAATGAATGGAACAATTGTCTGTTTCAAGCTCCCATCCACAGAGAAAAAGACCAAACACTGGAGATATTTCAAGTCAGAGAGAGAAGCTGAGAGGTTTGTGCTACTACAGGCATCTTTCTAAAAACTTAGAAGTTACCATTACATTCCTTCGTTTAAAACGGTTCCACAGTTCCTCGTGGCCTAGAATCACATTTTATCTCCTGGGCGTGGCTCTCAGGACAGACACTTAACAACCCGCCCCAAGCTGGCCATTAGTGTTGACTCCTGGGCTCACCGCAGCACCCTTCTCTCAGCACTCTCCGCTGGCTCTCGTCTCACTTCTTTCACTACGTCTCCAAGCCTCTGTGGAAGCTGACGCCTCTACGTGGACTGACGTTCCCATCTTCCCCTATGATCAGCCTTCCACCTCTGATTCAAACCCACCCAGCTGAAATGTCACCTTTTCAGTGAATCCCTCCATCCCCTGCTGCATCCTAATTACCTATTCCTGTGCCTAAATTCACCCCAAAATGACAAACTCCTGGAGGGCTAA